TGCCAAGATCTCACAAACTTGGCCACCAAAACGACGCGGCAAATCGGCGGGAAATGCACGGAATCGGCAGAAAATACACGGCAAAAAACACGTTTTGGAACTTGCATGTGTCGCTAGCCTACGGCAATTCGGCAAATCCTGCTGGCACAAAGGCAATGCAAAGCCTCATGTTGGACGCAAAGAGAAACAAGGGCGTGAATGGACCAAAAAACTCCTTGGAATGATTTACGGTGAGCTCCAAAGACTTGCTAAACAAATCTCCGGTCATTAGGTAAGTTGCTCTCGGTTGCTTTCTGCTCCCCTGCTAACAGTTTCACTTCTAGTGGTTCAATGGAAAACCAGTTGGCAAAAAGTTAGAGTCCCAACATCCCAACTGGCAAAATGCAACCCCACGAGCTCCTGTTGCTCGTCGGCTATCGGGCAAGGCGCCTTGTAGTGGGACATGGCGCAGGCAATGCCCCCCTCCGTGAGGTGGTCGTGGAACTTCACGAGCTCACCATCCTGGGCCGGCCGCCCCCGTCCAGCTGGAAAGATCTTAGGGGATCAGGGCGTGGGTCAAAACAGGTACCCAAAATCAGGAAAAAACACAGGGAAACTGGAAACAACAACGAAAATATGCGGTCCCCTGGTGATTTACTTTTGACCCATACCCATTCCAAACTAATTGGATTGGTACTTTGAAAACAAATTGCAGTGGCAACAAATATTAGGATTTTATAGTATCGCTGCGGGGGTGGCTCGGACGTGACCCACGCAGCAAAGGAGCCCCCGGTTCGCCAACAGAAGTTTTCAACACAACCTCCTGTGGGCCTATGAAGCCCGGCAGAATTCTACTTGGCTCATGCAGCTACGCCAAAAGGGTTGGCTCACTGTGTGCTTAGTCTGTTTCGTGGAGCCGCCCTTTTGCAGACTGCAGACAAGATCCTTGTGGACGATGGTATGTGCCCCAATCCGCTTCGCCTCCTGGGCAGTTTCCAGGGCCGCTGGAGTGATGTAGGCCAGCAGCTTGTCGGTGGCCTGGCATGGGCTTCCAGGGAAGCTAAGAAAGGAACTCTCAAACGGGCTTGTAGCTATATGACATTTACTTTGGATGTCTCCCCTTTTGCGCCAGACCAAAAGAAAGGCACACCTCAAGTGACACACAAAGAGTTGACGTCTGACAGGATCTCGAGCATCCAAAGGTCCCCAATTTCAGGCCTACCTTTTTCTAACGGGTTGCAGGCCCTAAAGAATTGACTTCTGAGACGCCCCAACATGCTTCGACAAGTGAAAGTAGATGACGCAACACAGGCCCCAACTGTGCAGGGGATTCGTTTCAGAAACGTGGAAGACGGCCCCAGATTTTCGGGCGGGCACAAGTTGTGTTTGTGTTTGCCTAGCGGACCGTGTCTTAAGAAGAGAAACCACAAGAGTCGTATGTCAACTGTGGTTAAAATCAGAACAAGGGCTTGGCCCTTGCCCTGCTCTCCCTTTCACATCTGCAGGGAGAAAGCAATGGGAAAAAAAAAACAAAAAACAAAAAAACTCCACAATGGGGATCGGTGCGCTTTGGGTGGCAAAAGCAAGTGGATGGCGCCGGTTGCGGCTGCGGCTTGGTTCCAGTCATTTCCCAGCACCCCCAAGCTTTGATGGTGTGTCCGACTGATTGGTGCATGCCATCTGTCTGATTGTCTTCGACCAAACTGGCACAAAAACAACACCTACCATCCTTGAGGCCAAACCAGCCGTGGGGAGCCCAAACCAAACAGCAACTTAGACAATGCTGAGCAACCCAAATGGGGGTCAGGAACAACTTGGACGCCCTGCCCCAAAACACTTAGTTTATGTGTCTCAAGCCTCCGCATTCGCCTGGGCGGTGGCGCTTGACTTGGGTTCGTCTCAAACAATAATCAATAGGGAAGTGTTTTTTCTGTTTCCACCCAAAGAAGGGCACCCTCGAAAAAATAGCCCCATATATTCATCCCCCAATCTGCAATTGTGATCATCATGCGTCATCCATCATGTCAGTGCAAAGATGCTCCAGTGACTCGGAAACCTGGAGATACAAACTAGTTCACCTTTTGCGACCTTGCCTAGACCAAACCCGGTAAACCCGGCTTGGTCAGATCCGGTCGATTCGCGGGGACCGAGGTGCCAGGTGACAATTTGGAAACATTGATGGCCCCGGTAAATGGTTTGTAAACCTTATCATCCATCTAAACCAGGTAACCAGTGAAACTCCATATTCTTCTAATCAAATTCACCCAAGGACACCACCGCGCCCCCATCATCCATCTAATTAGTTGTTGCTGCTGACCCCTCTGCAAGAAGTTTAACCTTTTGTGGGTTTAGTGGAAACCCCCTTGATTTCCCAAAAAGTTAAAGTCCAAAGATCCAACCCAATAGCAGTCAAGTTTATTGTTCACCAAACTCACCCAAGGTGCCGCGCCTTTTCGTCCGAGAGGTTGATCTTCTGGCCATCCACCGCATCCACCCGCAGCAGCCTCTGCAGCACCTCCCCGTTTTGCTGGGCCAAGACCTGCGCAAGCTGCAGCCTCCAGGGTCCAGCGGGTCCAGGGGCCGGATGGACGGCTGGAGAGATGGAGATATGGAGAGGGGAGGTCCCAACTCACAGAACAAAAAAATGACCAGGGCTCAAAAAAAAGGGGGAGAACAGATTGGGTCAAATCAAAGAGGGCTTCAACAACAAGTTTCACACTTTCTTGGAAGCCAAGCCAAGACAACACACAAATGTTCAACAGTTTGAAGGATTGATGTTGGACAACTGTTTTACCCTGTGTGACAGACACAAACCCAACACGAGTTTCACATGATTGTTTTTGTTTTTTTTTTTGGGGGGGGCTCCACGCTCATCTGAGGGGAGTTATTCCTACACAGCATCCCACCAAACTTAAGTAAGAAAGTGGCCCATCCTGTTCATTCTGCGTGGACTGGGAAGAAGCCTTTGTTACGGGCCCTTTTCGCTCTGTGCTTGGCTCTTCCCCTTGAGGCATTCGCATAGGGTGCTAATTTCAGAACCCACGCCTCCTATCGGGTCGTCTCGCCAGGTTGATGACCACGGAACACCAGGGGGCCTCCTTCCGCTTCGGACGGCTGGCCCGGGCGAGCCGCGCCTCGAATTCGGGCCCCGGTGAGACCCAAGGAACTCGAAAAAGGTCGGTGTGTGGAGGACTGGCGGGTCAACTGGGCTGATCCTGTTAGGAACTTGCCCCGTATACGTGACAAAGGGGTTCTGATAGGGATCCTCACACCTTCAAAGGTTGGTGGATATGTCATATACCAAACTGGGCCATGGGGCTTATCACTTTCAAGGATAGCGCATGGCCCTGACACACGACTCTTCACAACCAGGGTCCAAAGGCTGTTCGAAGGTTGCACGACAGGGCTTTTTGCTTTTGGCCCTCATGGCGCACAATTCAGGGGGGAAACCGCAGCACCTCTGACCCACCTGGATCAGGCCCGGGAACCTCGAAACGGGGGATTTTCTTAAAGGGAAGCGGAAAGCTGTGGCCTCAGCTTCACTCCTCACAAGAAATGATGTGCAAAAAAACCTGGGACCGTTCAACGGGTTCTAACACATTGGTCCCCTCCGGGTGCTACGCACATGATTGTCTTTTGGTGGCGCTCGGAGCCCGTTTCTTATCGAACCCACGGTTTCAGGTCCCCTGAAACTCATCCTGAAACCTGCACCAAGGCCCCGGGAGCATTTCCCCGCGAACATCATGCAGCTTCAACAGAGGAACCTTTGGTTCACATGGGAAACGCACATGAAACCACCGCTGTTTCTTCGTCCCGGACTGCCATCGATGGATACAAAGGGGTCCTGTTCCGTTTTTTTTTGATCCCTTAAGGGCATCCAAGGCGAAAAGTCGCGAACGGATCCCTTTTTCCCCTTGCCTGGCGCTCGCCACGCCGCAGCGGGGAGGCCACCAGCGAAGGCGCCTGGCGAAAGAAACTTGGGCCGGACCAAAGGGACACCAAATTCGTGTTGCTTCTTTTTATAGAAAAACCCAATGCATGTGGCTGTTAACAAAATAGTGGTTCAAGTCATGGTGAGAGGAAAAGGTGGTCGATGTTCAGCGCGCCTGGAAGCAAAGCGTCGCCACCAGCGCCGCACGCGCCGGGAGACCCAAAATTGGGGGCGACCGCGCCGCGGCCAGCGGGTACCGTGCCCGCGGCTCGACACGAAGCCGCAGGGGCTGGACATGCTTCATCCACCCGGAACCAGAGCACCCCCCCCCCCTGCCCAGGGCAAAGCACGGGGGAAGCGAAATACAAAACCCTAGGGTGCTTCTGATTTGGAAGGTCAAGCTCAATCTGACGATGGAGTGTCAACAAAAAACCACGCGGACCGGCACTGGCAAGTTACAACACTGACGAATACCATTCAATACAGTCTTTGAGAAGGGAAAACAGAAACATCAGCCCTACTGCCGCCGCCACCACCTGGCAGGAGGGTGCTGCTCGAGGTCTGTAAGACCGGGTGAAACGAAGCGCGCGTGCCGCCCTGTATGCTTTGCGGAACTACGCTGATCAAAGTCTTCTCTTGGTTTCTGGTTTGTCCTGATACTCACTGAATGGATGGAACCTCCAAGTTTTGGCCCTGTACATCTCCGAAGCCACCAGAATAGTTCATCTAAGCACAAAAAAACCTGTGCCTCAAAAAATGCCCAAGGGTTCAACTGCCATTTGAACCATACAGCCGCGGGTGTTCAAATGCAACGGGCCGAACCTAAAAACGCCAGGCCTGTGCTCCCTGGTCTGTTTCTCCAGCAGTCCTTCTGTCTTTGCGTCGTTTCTCACTTGATTAGGATTAACATGAAGGTCCCAGCCCAAAAATCAAGCGTCCTGTTTCTCAGAGCACGTCAGCAAACGACATGCACGCAGCGAGGGAGAAGCTTGGGGGAACACAGGGAGACACCATTGCATTCAGACACTGGAGACTCATTGAGAGTGATTGAGGGCCGGGGCTGTAACAATTCGCCAAAACACGTCCGCGCCTTGCGAGCCTTGGCATACTGCCGGTCCGTGCTGCCGCGACGCACCTGCTGATCTTCTTTGGGGCCGGGGGATTTTGGTCCAAATCACTCAAGCCACGAACCTCGAAAAGGGAGACGCCACCAGAGTTGTTCAAACAGAGCAGTCAAACAGCCCCACAGTCCGGGCCACTTGTTTGAGAACATGTTGCCTCTCAGAAGGCCTGCACACATGGTTGCCCCTTGGTCTGGAGCCTCCGCGAGATGCTTCATCGCAGAGTCCAGGCGCTTCTGCAAGGCCTCAGCCACGCAGCGAACGCTGAAGAAGTCGAGGGATGACGGCTGCCAAGGTGTGAGCAACGAAGGCCTTGAATTTGGCCCCTCCCACGAACTCCATCAGGCCAAAACGGCCCCAAATTGCGACGCAGGCGCCAAAAGGGGCCTCAACGTGGCAAATAAACATATTGCCAGCCTTCGCCTGTGGGAGGGCCTTTGGAAAAAACTGCTCTTCTTGAGGAAGGGAGGGTAGCTGATGGCAAACATCTAAGGTCTCGCGTGCCTCGGATTGCGCTGGGGCTCCTGCATCAAGCTGTTCTAGACAAGAAGCCTGGCTTGAAAGGGTAGGGACCACATGTTTGGATGCTTAAACCACTGTTCAAGTCATTTCCTTTTGGTTTCCTTTCAAAGTGAACCCAAGGCTGAATTCCATACTCCATCTGCAAAGGAGCGGTTCTTCTTTTTGGGCCTCGGGCCAGTTTGGTCCAGCTTGAGGAAAGCAACCTACGCCTGACTGGGCCACACACCCCAGTGTTTGCTCTGCGAGGAGGGCTGAGTTGATTAGAACGTTCAAGGCAGATTGGAAGCCACTTCCAAGGATGGATCCCATCCCTCGAGCAAATGTGGGCTCGGGACGTACGAGCTGGCTAGGCTCGACTTGGTTCAGCGGTCCTCCCACCCGGAAATCCAATTTCCGGAAGGAATTCCCATGCCCACTTTGGAGAACCTTCAAGCAACGCAAGCTAACTTGCACAAAGTGAAAAATGACATGTTACCCTGGGGTCATGACTTTTGGGTCAATTTTGGAAAAGTCCCCCGACGCCAGTCGATGGCAATCCGCAACTTGGTCTTCCTTCGGAATCTTATCAAAGCAAAAAGGCTTTTGGGACTGCTATTTTTGGCATGCTGTGCTAGGTGTCCAAAACCTGTATTTTTCCAGGGTTTTTGTGCCTTTTGTGCTAGCAATCTGCGTTTTGCCATAGGTCTCTAAGGGGGGTCTCCCGGACGCGCAGGATTTGCACCCCCAGCATCAACAGGATTATCTTGTTGCCATGAATTTGTCTCTTTTTTGCAGATACTAGTGGTGTTTTGCTGTTTCAAGCGATGTTGGAATTTGCATGTTAGGGGTTTGGGTGGGGCCAAGCGCAGTGATACTTTGAGGAACTGTTGAAATTCGCAAAAAATGAGTGTTTTTTGCAATTCCCACGGAGCAGTTACTGCGAAACATCCCCTGCATTATCGTGCTTTTGGAAGTCTATTTTTAGTGTATTTGCGGGGGGTTGCTAGTATTCCCAGCATTCCCCACATCTCTTGTATTTTTTGTGTTTGGTCAGTGTTGCGTGCCTGAAAGTCTTAGAATCTTGACCGCGAAGATTGGGTCTGTTCCTCTAAGTTGTGTGGTTGCATCCCTTGCGTTTCCAGCGTCCTCAGAATCTGGGACATGAAAAACAGGCCTTGTTGTACTTACAAAAGATAGGGCCTTGCTTTTATACACTTTCGAGGGGTAAACTTTTTTCCTTACCCCAAATTCGAGTCCTTCCACGTGTTCAGAGCCCCATGTGACCCTTACCCCAAATTCAAGGCACCTCAGAGGGGCGTTGTTTGTTCTCCTTCCACAGGGGCGTTGCTTGTTTTCTTTCCAGGCGTTAAGAGACCCATGTGACCTAGACAAAAAAAAACGTCGGTACCCTGCAGCCGACGTCAGAGGGGCGTCGTTTGGTCTCTTTTCACTTGTTAAGACCCCCATATGACCTAGGCAAAAAAAACGTCTTTTTCCTTACCCCAAATTCGAGGCACCCTGCAGCCGACGTCAGAAGAGGGGCGCTGTTTGTGTTCTCCTTCCACGAGTTAAGAGCCCCATTTGACCTGAGCAAAAAAAGTCTTTTTCCTTACCCCAAATTCGAGGCACTCTGCAGCCGACGTCAGAGGGGCGTTGTTTGTTCTCCTTCCACGAGTTAAGAGCCCCATTTGACCTGAGCAAAAAAAGTCTTTTTCCTTACCCCAAATTCGAGGCACTCTGCAGCCGACGTCAGAGGGGCGTTGTTTGTTCTCCTTCCACAGTTAAGAGCCCCATTTGACCTGAAAAAAAAGTTTTTTCCTTACCCCAAATTCAGGCACCTGCAGCCGACGTCAGAGGGGCGTTGTTTGTTCTCCTTCCACGAGTTAAGAGCCCCATTTGACCTGAGCAAAAAAAGTCTTTTTCCTTACCCCAAATTCGAGGCACTCTGCAGCCGACGTCAGAGGGGCGTTGTTTGTTCTCCTTGAACACGTTAAGCAGAGCCCCACTTGACCTAGGAAAAAACAAAGATTTTTTCCCTACCCCAAATTCAAGGCACCCTGCAGCCGATGTCAGAGGGGCGTTGTTTGTTGTTCTTCCACGCGTTCAGCCCCAGTCTGTTAATAGGGGACTGTCCACTGGCGTCGGCGGATCGCGTAGCGATTTCAATAGCTGGATGTGGTGAATGGAACCAAAAACCATCCCAACCATCGTCTTCTATTTCTGGCCAAACTAACCGACAAAGGACACCTATGGTCATGACTCATCATGAACGCATCAACTGTGAAAGGTCAGGTGTCGGCTCGCCAAGCTAAACTACTTGTTTGTTATTTTCTCCGAATCGAGATGCCCGGCGAATGGATAGTCAAGCTTGGGCCCAAGTTTCCCCTGGGTTTCCTTTCAAAACCCTCCCAAAAAGGGTACCGAGTCTGAAAACAGACTCCCACAGAACCCGGAGAGAAATAGGTGAACTCGAGCGGCTAGGTTCAGAAAACTCCATGAACTCCCGGCCGACATGCCTTTAAAAGCTTTCACGGCACCCGCAACGCCTGTCAATCAAACCATTCTTAAGACGTCCCTATCAAGTGGGGAATCCTTCTGCCACATCATCAATCGTGCGATCCTCTGACCAGACTGGCCTCACGCAACACATGAAAGCAGGGAAACAAGGTAGCCACAAATTAGGCAAGTCTGACAATGAACAATGGCTCTCCTCTTCCTTGGAATTCTGAGGTCGCTTGGGGGGTGGGGGTCGGGGATGGAAAAAAACAGGGGGCCGTCTCAGAGCATGTTGTGCAGTTTCTTCAAAAGGAGGCCAGCATTTTTGTCAGCGCTGGTTGGTGTGAAGCAACGGGCTGCTCGGCGAATGGGCAGCTCTGACCGCATTGGCAAGAAGCAAGCAATGTGAGTATCAGTTTTACTGGGGAACCCCTTTATGCACATCATTTTGGTGGGGACTCATGTCCATCACCCACTCTTGAGGTAGCTACCTACTCAAAACCACAGCCATATCGAATGCCTCGAAGTTTGCCATATGGCGGAAATAGAAGCGCTCCACGAGTCTGAACATTGGACAAACTGCAGCCAAGGCAAAGCTCACACGGCGCACCCCTTTCTCCAAGCCTTGCCACTCAGCCCACTTTTCCGCTTTGCGCTTGCATCGCGTTGGGCCTTGACCCGCAGTGGCGACCCCTTCTCCGCAACCGAGTTCTTCCCAAACACTGACTTTGCTCCCACCCCCGGGGTGTTCCGCGGTTTGCGGTCACCCCATGACGTTTGGCGGCACCGCCATGCCCGGCGCACCCATGCCGAAGGGCCCGGGCCCTCCCATGACATGCGCGTTGCGGCAGGCATCACCGAAGCGGCACCACCCCGAGCGCTGGAAGAAGACGCACACCTCCGGACCCCGGACTGGGGCCTGCGCCTGAGCTGGTGGTGGGACTTTGTTGGGGCTAAGGCTGCCAAACAGCGCACCTAAGCCAACTGCTCAGCGATCTTGTTGCAGGATAATGAAATCTGTGCATGTTATGTTATTCACGAGAATCAGTCTTGCAAGTCAAACTTTCAAGAGAAAGGTGTTCAGATTGGTTCGTAGCTCCCCTCCCGCGGCCATGGTTTACAAGGTTGCAAAAACTCTTCCGCCCTACAGCAAGCAAACGTCAAATGGCAGTGCGTTGCAAATATCTCGCCTGATTGGCACATATCTCGCCTTATTTGAGACGCGCAGTAACAATTTGCTGGCAGTTGTGCTCATGTCTTGCCAAACTCAGCCACTCTCGTTGTCCTGTTTGCCGTGTGGGTGTCCCGCAAACGAACATACTAATCAGCAATAGCAATATGAACACCCAAAACGAACAGGTTTGCGGGCACACACAACATAGGATAAGATGCCTCCTGCACAAGTAGACAAACAGAACGCATTGACATGCACAATGCCCAACAAACGAAATCTCGGACTTTTGTTCAGCGATATAGGTTTGTGGTTTCCATTCTGGGCCTGTAAAAGATTGAAGGCATGCAAATACTAGCGGTATTGGTGGTTTGCGCAAGGAGGGAGTTTTTCGGACTTTCGGAGGGACGTAAAGGGGCAAACTGCAGTTGACGGATCCAGCAAATGAACACAAAAAGGCAAGCTTGCAAACACAACACCCAGCACATGCACAACCAGCAAGGTAACAAAGCGTCTGCCCAGAGTTGTGGCAGCATGGGCGCAAAAGGAAAGCAAAAGGAAAGCAAGGGAAAGCGAGGGAAAGCGGGAACAGCAAGGAAAAGCAAGGAAAAGCAAGGGACAGCGGAAACAAAGGAAAAGCGAGGGAAGCGTAAGAAACAGCAGGGATGCAAGGGAAAACAAACAAAACTGAGGGAAAGTAAGGACAAGCAAGGACTGTGGGAAAGCAAGGGAATGCAAGAATCAATCCTCAAACGCCCCCCCACCCCGCACACGTCACACAACTCCAACAAAGTTGCGTTCCGAAGTCAATCAGCTGAATGAGCCAAGGCTCGGCAAGAACGTGTGAGTGTTTGCAGGTCTCGCCGTACTTGCACCAGCCAGTGTTGGTGAAGAATCTGCATATCTCCTCCGGAGAGGGGCGCTGCGGATTGTCCTCTTTCGGCACTTAGCTGAGTAAGCCCATTTTTGTCCGCTCCATTTTCGTCATTTTAGACAATGATGGCAAGTGCCAACCGAAAGGGAGGCCTCCATTCGGCAACAAGAGGAGCAAGGAACGCATTTCAGCAAAAAGTGAAACATTGCGACTGACTCCGGTGGACCAAACAATGAGGAAAAGGGATAATCAAAACACCGACCTGGCCACATCTTGCACAACAAATAAAAATCCGCAACATCTATTTTCATACCAGATCATACCCTTCATCTGGTCACCTGCCTTTCTTGACCGAGCCCAGGTCGTTCCGCTTCCAAACGGTCTGAGGAACATGCGCCATGCTGCTACAAACAAAAAGCAATCAACTCCCAACATCGTCACCTTCACCGCATCAAACGGGCGGTGGCCCATCACAAAGGGCCGTGAACCCTAGACAATTCAAAGCCGGTG